TTTACCACTAATCTTGTATTTATTGCGAGTGTGGCAGCGATCAGTGAAGTTCGCTTCATAGTATCTTGCTGTACTATGATGATGATGATGATTGACTTTCCAGTCTACAGTGCACAACTAAAACACGCAGAACATTGTTGGTGAATCAGCAATTTGATGAATCTTCGGTTGAATATTTATAAATATCAATCATTTAATCGATCCGTAGATAGATGAAGCTGTCAACCAGTCAATCAATCCATCTACTCGTGTATCACTTTACTTGTCTGTTTCCTGTCCCTTTTGTTAATGGTATGTTTGACTATTCATTTTCCGTCAGTTAATAAGTGAAACGTCTCCCAACCCTTTGTCTTTCACTCAGCCGACAACCTTATGCTCCAACCAGTTGTGACATATCTAGATAATAAGCTGTTTTTGGACTGGTCCGACATTTGGAGGTGCACCAAAGCAACCACCTTCAATCTGACCATGAAAACTCAATCGGGTCACGTGGTTTACGAGGAACACGACATACGGAACACGTTTCAATCAATAACATATCGACCGGATTGTGAACAAACCGAGGTATGCATCACCGCCGGCACAGTGAGTAGGCAGATACTGGGAATGCGATGTGTGGCCGACATTAGACCATTCAGAAGAGGTGAGCTTTCAAACCCCAGTCTACTCATAACTTGGATTTCTGTAGTTTTGCTCGGGAAAGAAATTCACCTTCATGACAAATGCATGAGGCCGTTTGTGAAGACGCCTTGAATTTGTGGCCGTTCTGCTTTGTAAAGCAAATATTTCGTCGACTGAGATATTACACGATGACTCCAGGTCTACGAGGATGGGGTTTGATTATGATCTAAATTAAGGTGGTTAATGAAACAGATTTTTGTTAAACTTTCCATAAATTCAATCATCATTTATTTGTGTCCCCGCGCCAAAGTAATGTTTCACCAGTAAGCCCTTGTCATGTCCCTTTGCATACTGTAGATCACCACATGAGATATCGCCGGGGCTATAGAATTATATGCAAAGTCTGCGGTTGATCTTACTCATTGGTTTTGGGCAAGTCGCAGCCAATGCCTCACACACAGACACCCTCCGAGTTTTTCAGGCAGATAGATTGCATCAGTGCAGTCGACATCCAAAATAGTTTACATCAGTACCAGCTTTCATCTTTCTCGAAATACTCACGCACCGTGTTTGCCTAACGAGATCCAAATTTTACGATCTCTGGGTCCATCCGGGCTTGAACAAAATACTGCTATACTATTTGCACCTGTTTTCCTAGATCAGTCTACGCAAATGCATAAACACCGAGGTGTGGTTTTTTAATTTTTTGAAGTTCGCCCTTATTCAAAGCTTTTCTGTTCCCATCCCATTCGATGTGACACATTCTTTTCCAATAAATTACCATAATTTCACAAATACTTTCTCACCCATCCCATCCCACCCCGAACTCATCCCTTCAAATGCCCGTCCTCCTCTCAGACAAACCGTCAAAGCCCCGACTGGAACAGAAGGAAAACGGTGACTTGTCTATAGAATTCACCTGGTCAGACTCATGTTCACCGTCTCTCGTTAGTGTGATTATTCGATCCAAGACGCATTCAGAAGTTGTGCGTTCAAGTCGATCCAAAACAGACAGTGTGAATATACCGTATCCCAAGTGGTGCTCCAATTGTCTGGTCTATGTGGTTGCCTCGTATCCACATCTACAAGATGAAATTTCCGAACCAGAAATTTTGATGGGCAAGTGGATTCCTGATATGTTCGTTTTGTTTTGTTTTGTTAAATCAACTGTAGAACCGCTTACAAAAATTTGCTGGTCATGAAGGAGTTAACTTAAGTTGATCGTGTAAATATGAATCAGGAAAATAATGAACATACTATTTGGTACATTCTGCACTTAATGAACAATCGGTCGACTGACTGACTGACTAGTCTACTTGCTATTGAATTATTCGCCTAAAATATTGCAGTTATTCAGTGCATGATTTGTGCTAGAGGCTAAACCGAAGCATCGGTGAAACACTTGCCTTTTTGAAGCATTCTATATAAGCGTCGATTGAGAATGCAGGACAGGTGTTTTTGTTTCGCTTGGGACTGAGCAGCTTGAATTGAAAAGACAGTTTGCCGATCGAAAGCTGTACCAGGATGACCAAGACTAGATTCATGCGGACATGCGTTGAAGGTGTACGTCAACTATTGTGCAGCTCAAATATACGCGCTTCGGCTACCAACTCAAGTTTCGCCCGGATGTACGAAAATTGTACATATGCATTAAGAGTCACACCACATTGGGACGAGACACTTTTGCGGAGCTCGTTACAGGGTAATTTCCAGTGAAAATGTGAGAATAATCATATTTTGCTCTAAGCGTATGTTTCTCACGGAAGACACTTTTCTATAGATTATTACAAACTTGTTTTGCATGATTAGGTGGAGTTTGTGGTAATCCACACTTCGTGAAAGTTTGACTGATTTGAACTGCTTAACCATCTATCTTGTTCCGCGTTCTTCAGAGGGGTTTTGTGACTTCAGGATTTGGTATTGCTTTGTTACACTCGTGGTATTCCAACGCATGAACGAGTGATCCAGTGACAGCGGCAAGAACATAAGTCAAATTGCAAATGATAAGTGGGGTCGTTTAGAATCTTATTGGCAAAGATCATGCAAGACTTCATATGACCAATAATAAGTTCTGCGATTAATGACTCGGTAGAAATTAAAAATGCACGGCTTATTGTCATTAATCTAAGACGGACAGTTTTAAAGTCTTGTTTTAATAGACCTGGAAACACTACAGGGGAGCAGTAAAGTAAAATATGGAGAAGGCATTGTTTATCAAAAGAGAAGAAAACTTGTTGGGGAGTGCGAAACTGTCTGAGCCTTCTGAACTGAAAGGAGAGGCGCCGAAGTCTTCTCATACAGTTCTGAATGTGTGTCGACCACAGACGATTATTCTCGATAGTAACACTCAGATATTTGGCTGAGATCACTCTAGACAAAAGATTTCCATTAAGAGTTACAGAGTCTGATGGGAATGTAGAGCGGAAAGAACTAAAAATGCACTTCAAGCACTTGGATGTGTTAAGAATAAAGCCAAACTAGTTTGAAAACTATTCGATTCGGGACAGATTTTCAGTGAAGGAGGAAAAGTCCGAAAAAGAAAAGGTCTGACATAAAGTGACATCACCAGCATACTTTTGGATATCAGGGTGTGTAACTGAAAAATCACTAATGAAAGCAGAGAACGGAGAGAGGACAGTGCAACTCCAGTTCACGATTCTCGGTCCACGAATAAACTGTTCAGTCTGTTTACACACTTCTCACAACCGCGTCCACTTTCAGATGTTGTATGGGTGCCGTTAGGATACGTCTCGATGGAGCTTCAGACCAAGCTAAAAGCCAGGAGATGGGCAATCCAGATTCAATTCAAAGGTATTTTTCAAGCGGTTTGTGTGGTCCCCAATGGTGGATATCGCTGGATGGCATTTGAGGTGGGTGTGGAATCAGTATCAATAATTCGAACTGGGATTGTGCCTTTATAAGCAATGGAAAGATTTGTAATGACCAACAAAAGAGCAGCTGTTTCGTCCTGTTTGCGACATGAAAGCAGTGCGTACGTTGTGTGTCCCTGACGTCAAGAGCACCTGGTGTATGTGAATAATTGAATCAGTTAATCTAAGCTTGATTCCTTGAAATTGGTTGACCGATTCGCAAAATGTGATAACCGTCTACCGCGTAGCTCGGGCAGTTTGCGGTTCCGGTCCTGACAGGGACACAAAACGTGCACACTACAGACATCCAAAACGGGACGGAGCAGCTGTCCAGTACNTCCAGTACTCTTTGTCGGTCAGCACAAATCTTTCCATCGCTTAGGAATGCATTGAACAAATGGGAAATTAACGCTCTCCTAAGGCATAAAACCCACACTGAAAACCATCAAGAGTGCGTGGTGAATTTGAATAATCTAATCGGATAATCCGAAGGCATTATTCTAAATTGATTGCGCCTTTATTCTGTGTCAAACAAGTAAAATTAACAATAATATAATCATTATTATTACTAGTATTTTTATTATTATTCTAAATCTCAGGATGCTTCTATCAGTCAGGGATATCATAAATCACCCCGTTTCATTCTGATTATTGTCATGCACTCTTTAGCGGTGATGACTGCAGATCTGATCTGATCCTTACATCACTCCCTCTCTCGTTCCCCGGTTACGTTGCTGTTTTGTTGCAGGTCGTGAGGTGGTACCGCATTCAAACAGCGCATCGGTACGGTTTGTCTCACCGGATTGTTTTACAGTGAAATCCGAGGACCGGGAAAGACGCGGGAGTGAGCCTTTTGTGTTTTCTTTTGATGAGCGTTATTTTTTTTTGTAATCTAACCACACACTCAGCGGGCAATCACTTGAGTACGCGGTAACGCTGTGACATCAACCTTGATGGACAGCATGTTGTCTTGTGAGACCAAAATAAAATCGTGTGATTTTGCACCGCCTTCCTGCCGAACGAATGATGAAGCTAGGTCAGGGACACAAAAGGCAGGTCCAGTGAAGTGACGTCCAAAGGTACCGTTGCTGCTAAAGGGTTCTTGTAGTTTTCGAAATAGAAATCTGAATCGAATAGGGTGAGTTCGAATTAGGAGTGAAAAACAATTGAACAGCGAAAAGTCAGTTACAACTAGAATGATCTGTGGATACATTTAATTCCATTCGAGAAACCATACAAATAAATATCACTGGCTGATTCTTCAATGTCCAATCGACAACGATATGGTTCGTTTGGTTGCCTTCTTGCGTTCAACCAATCCGGTTGGTGCCACTTGAGATCACAGGATTGGTCGGCAAATCCGCTTCCTGATTGGCTACCTGAAAGCTGTACCGTGGTTCGTGTGGACTCGTTGCACGACCACTACAGTTCTCATCCCCGACTTAAAAATGAACAATACGATATCAGAAATGTGTTATTTATCACATAACCTGTACGTTCCCTTTGTGAAAATGAGAGATAATCTAGGCTTTTTACGTCACAATTGTTTAAACGATCAGGAAGACTTTAACACATCAGTCTCAGTACATCATCATTTTATATCAGTTTATCTACACATTTGTATTCCTCGTTATTATCAACCTCAAATGAGACGTATCTGCAAGCGAATATCCATCCGATCTTCCATTATAACAGCATTGGGAACAGTCTCAACAGTCTAACCATGCAATATTTTGTCCCTCAACAGAAACAGGATTGGTTCCGCGATTGTGATCCGATAACAGGTCTGAAAATAAACACGAACAGGTTCCCCACCACGGGGCGGTCACGTGTCCCCCTGCCCGAATGTTTCTTTTTTTGCGGTGTAACTATTTCCTTTAGCATTACCGTTTTTGCGAACCAATTTTTCGCGGGCCAAGGTAAAATAACATTGGGATTACTCAAGGGTGAGTGTACAGTTAAGTACAATGAGATGCATGTTTAAAACACCGGAATAGATAATATCATTATCGGTTAACCTTAATTGCGGTTAAATATACCGTGTCATAGCCTAAATTGGGATCATACCGAAAATGGTACAATCCACGTCTCTTGAGGGAAGGGGATTTGTTTTTGTACTAATGACTGTTGTGAGCACATCTGCCTAACTTTTCAATCATATACCAGTAAAAGCCACCGTGGTTTACAATGGCTATCGGAAAATTGAGTTTTTTACCGTTGCACTTGACTGCCTCCACTCAGAGTGATTGCGCAGTTGATAACTGATTAAATAGACAATTATATGGAGAAAATTCAAATTTGGGTAATGCTGCCACGGTCAAGGTGCTCTTATTTGAAAAAAATTCTTTCCCTGGTTCATTTAGCTTTGAATATAGAGAGAGAGATCTTGCACTCTGAATGAAGACAACCAAGCAAGCGATCCAGAATTAAAAGCACAATCTGTAACAACAGCAAACAATGGGGTCTTCTGCACTTCCCGGATGTATGTTTTATAACATAAAACAAGGATTGTGCGTAAAAATCACGGTCGCAACTGAAACGCTGAATCACACTAGCACTTGCAGGATGGAATCTCCCGTCACCGAGACGTAAGCAAAAGGCCACAGGAATAGAAGTTTGTTTATTGAAAGAAATCGAGGGGATTGAATAACATGTGCAAATGGAGTTCATTGCTTATGCTGATATCCATCAATCACATGCTTGTAGCCTTCATATCATCTGATTGGTCTGTACGATTGGCCTGTGGTTCGTCGTCCAGAAATCGTAACGCATAGGCGCTCGACTGGCATCAACTAAGACGGTTGACTCATCACAGTTGTTCAGAAACTGTAACGTGTAGCTATGTGACTGGCGCTATCCCGTAGGCTAAGCTCATCACAGTTTAATTTCACAAAACGAGAAATGTGCATAAAATTCAAGTTTAAAAATTGATGGATGGGGTTAAATAACTCTGATCACAGTTTTTAATTCACATATTTACTGGTGTATGCACATTTATAACCATTCATTCTAGTGCCATTCCCAACAGGTGTTCTAGGAGTTTGCCACAGTTGCTTCATCGATACGCACTAGATAACAGTGAACTGTATTTCTTCAATGAAGGCGTGCCTCCAAAAGCCTCNTCTCGGGTTGTGACTATACACCCTTCCCTTACACCTCCCGAAGTGCTCCCATATGATCATGCGTCGCAAATAGCTTCTGCTGACGAAGCCCTACTCACTGTCTTCTCGTGGCGGTGTTTTTTCATCACAGTGAGACGATAAAAGGTCGACATGCGGAACTATAACCGGGTTAGTAGACCACTGGTAGTCCACCTAGAGGAGTTGGCGAAAAACCCTGATTCTAA